TGCCATACATACATTCCATTTCATTTAGCTGACACTTTTATCCAAATCGACTTACAATAAGTGCTTTCGACCAAGAAGATACAAACTTGAAGAAAACAGAATCATATAAGTACATCAGGTTTCATAGAGCCAAAACATTTCAAGTGCTACTCAACTAGCTTTAGATAAGGCAGCCCTTTGTTAGTATATAAGTGCGTTTTTTTTATTGCTCGAAGTGGAGTCGAAAGAGATGCGTTTTCAGTCTGCGCCGGAAGATGTGTAAGCTTTTTGCTGTCCTGGTGTCAATAGCCGCTTTCACACCAAGTACTTTGCCGTACTTAGTTCCCTGCTCTTAGTTCCCCCATGGAACTAAACAGCAGATCGCGTTCACACCGGAATAAGTCCCTGAGGGAAGATTAGGCAAATGAAGCCGCTGACGTCACTTATTCGTCTTCTGCTTTGGGTTTACTGGCAGGCCGCAAACAACTTCACGGCGTATACTGCCACCCGAAATCCCCGGCCGGAAGTCCCCGGAGTTGGGGACTGGCCTTCCGAGTAAATCGCCAGAACGCCGACACCTCCTCATCTCCACCGCTCCCATGTTTTTTTTGTGTTGCCATAAGTTATTCTATCTCCATTGGTGTGCGGGGCTAATGCTAATAATGCTAATGATAATAATGCTAATGCCAGCAAATAAAATGGCGGCTTCAAAAAACTTTTCCGAATTTTACGGGGCGTGGTTTGCAATTCGCCCAGCCAATAGAAATTGGAATTTTTTTCTCCCCAGGAAAGTACCACCTCTCTAGCAGGCACTAACAAGGGGGTAAAAGTTCTAATGAACTCTTTTTGGTGTGAATGCAAAATCCCAGGAACTATCGGAACTAAACGAGAAAAGTACTCCGGTGTGAAAGCGCCTAATGGGGAGCTCATTCCACCATTTTGGAGCCAGGATAGCAAACCGACGTGTACAGACGGTAGCACACTTTTCCTCAGTGTCTCCGACCACATCACTAACTCTTCATCCCCTCTCTCCCAGAAGAGTCAGAGTAATGGTCCGGAGAAGGAGAAAGACGGAGTGATCCAGAACTTCAAGAGGACTTTGTCTAAGAAAGAGAAGAAGAAGGAGAAGAAGAGGGAGAAGGAGTTCTCCCGGATCCCCGACGGAGACGAGCAGGCACTCAACCGAGAGGACGGGTAGGAAGAAAACCATCCGTCTTTATGGCCTTGGAGAGGATATATCTTTATTTGACCTTTCTCTCCCTCCATCTGTCTTGTATTTGTTCCGTCTTCTCCCCGCCTCATTTGTTGTTTTAGGGAAAACAACCGTCTGGCGGCAGAGGTTTACAAAGACATGCCGGAGACCAGCTTCACGAGGACCATCTCCAACCCCGAGGTGGTGATGAAGAGGAGGCGCCAGCAGAAACTGGAGAAACGCATGCAGGAGTTCATGAGCAGCGACGGGAGGCCGGACTCAGGTTTGTGGAGCTTCTAATGAACCCTTTTTATACAGAAATGAAACACTTTTTGTCTATCCAAACCTAGAACAAGCTCTGAAAAGCAAATTAGCACAGTTCAGAGTCTCATACATCTAGATTTTTTTTTATTTGATTTATTTAGAACGTGTAAAACAGTGACCATCAACTGGGTGACAGTGGTGTTGGTGGAGTGGTTAGTGCGTTTGCCCGCTACTCATTTTTTTTTAATACAACGTCTCGTGAGTAATGTGCAGTACCGGAGTCCAACAGAGAGGCAGCAGCTGCAGGACAGTAGACTGCGTACTGCGTAGCCTTCCCTGCCCTGAACAAGAAGTGATCCTCCACTAGTTATATTGCTGTGAAAGCATATAACTCTGTCCACGCAGAATTAAACCCTCTGTGTTCCTCCGATACTTTTCTTTTCTTTGATGTATCCATAGTTCGCTCATATTTATTCGGTGCATCTCTCGTAGTCATATTCTTTATTTTATTAAATAGAATATATGAATATCAACTCTACCGTTTGACCTGACGATTTTGATTTACTCA